CCTGAGTTCAGTCCCCAGTACTACATGCTGTGCTAGCTCCCGAACCCTGGGCAACCGCTGAAACCAGGGGTGGTGGTAGTGGCACAGGCCTATAATCCCAGCACTAGAGAGGCTAAGACAGGAGTATGAGCTGCATAGTGAGACCCTGTATCAAATAAATTTAAAAATAAAATAAAAGTCAGCAAAAGTTTGGAGGCGGGGATGTGAGACTGGTCTTGGAGCAGAGGATGTAGCTTTCCCAGGCATGGACACCCCATGACCTCTGTCCAGTGGGTGGCTGTGTGCCTGGTGTATAGTCACACTGGTGCGTGTCCTCTGTGACCACAGGCCTGTCACCAGCTGCCACTTTCCTCACTCTCCAGCTTTGCCCATCCTTTCCCACCCCAAGTTCTGCGGAAGGGCAGGCACAGGCATGCTGCTGTACTCTGGGGCACCTACTAGCCACCCACACGCGATCTCTAGCCCACCTCTCCATGCAGGACTTGCACATTTAACCCTGGCATGTCCTGTCCAGTTCCTGATGAGGTCAGGCTGTGGGGAAGGACTCAGCTCCAGCTGCAGCTCACCTGCCACCAGGGCCAGACTGGTAACCTCCCGAGGTCCCAGCCAAGGCCTGGCTGATGCCATCCTGTAGTGTGCTTCCTCTGCACAGGCCGTGCCTCACACCTCCCTCTGCTCTCTTTCCTGATTCCAGCCCTTCTTCCACTTTGCCCCCACCGTGTCTTTGCAACAGCACTTGGCATTCCTTTCCTGGAAATCTCAGCTTGTTTCTCAGAGCCTCCAGGTTGAACTCTAAACCACAAGATTGCCGGCCTCTGCTCACATCCCCTTTCTATGCCCATTCTGACTCCCTGCCATCCAACTGCTTTGGAGCCCCTCCTGTGCTCTCTGCCTGCTGAATCCCTCTTGTTCCTAGAGAGCTGGCTCTGCATGCCTCTCCTCTTTCTGGTACCTGTGTACCCCTGTGCCTTTTGTCCCCCACTCCACGTTGCACAGCGCCATGTGCTCCTAACTACACTGGGCTGTACCAGCAGCCTCCTGCCAGGGACTCTGAGCTCCCAGAGGTAAATGACAGACTGTCAGTGGACTCAAGGCCCATGTTGTGCTTAGAATATGCTCAGCTGCCAGAAGTACTAGTTGTCTAAATGTGCATCTGAGATGTCTTGAAGTCTTTTCTAATCAGAAGGGTTTTTTCTCAATTTGTGGCAGGGCTCCTGCCTCTCTGAATGACACAAGCCTGCTCCATGACCCCTGCCTGGGGACGTTTGGAGGACCAGTGTTCCCGTGGCTTGTGCTGGGAGGCTATGACGGTAAGTCCGAGAAGCCCTTCACAGTCGCAGGTAATTGCACAGATCCCATAAAGTGGACAGTTTCCTTAACTCTCTATCCCTTGGACCCTAAGACTCACACCTGCTTTGGTTCAGGGCAGGGCTTTGCTGTGGATTACAGGTGGGTGGTGTTAACCTCTTAGGTCACACGTGCCTGTAGGAAGCCAGTAGAGCTAAGGACATGTCATCTCCCGTTGTGTCCAGCCACACATTCAGCTCAGTAGCATGAAGCTGTCAGACCCAGGCAGCCCGCTTAGGGCTGGGGGCCCCAGATCCAAGAACCCCTGTACATGGGGAAGAGATAAACTTGAGGGATGGAAAGAAAGTTCATGGAGTTTTCCTTCTACGCCCACCAGGACAGCTGGGGCTCTCATAGGGGAAGCGCAGTTGTGTGCTGGTTCCTTGCTCCTCTTACATCACAGGACAGGTTGTGCTGGATACAGTGGGTCAGTGATTCACGAGACACCTTTGGCGTCTGAGATCTAATGACAAGCTCAACAGGTTTTTCTCCAGCCATTTAAGAGGACAAAATAAAGGAGAAGTTGTGATCTGTATTTAAAATTTGCTCTGTCTCTTATAATAAAATGCCATTTCTAATAGTGAAGAAAGGGTGGTATTAACGGCTGGATAGCCACAGGAAGAAAATTAAATATGACCTCTTCCTTATTCCTTCTGTCAGAATTCATTAGGTCACATTAACATGTGAAGGAACTATTGAAAAACTGGAAGAAAATGAGATTTTTTAATTGTTTTAAAATAGAGAAGGCATTTTGAAGGAAAATAGAAAAGTGACAGTCCACAAAACAAAAGATTGATGAATTTTGAGTTAAAATTTTTTCAATTCAAATGAAAAACAGGGTGTTTTTAAGGCATGAAATTGGACAAAAATTAAAACAGTATTTCCTAGTCAGGTATGACGGCACACACTCATAATCCCAACATTCAGGAGGCTAAGGCAGAAAGATGGCTGTGAGTGTGAGGCCAGCTTGAGCTACATAGTAAGACCCTGTCTCAAAAAAAAAAAAAAAAAAAGGGGGCGGGGGAGATGGCTCAGTGGAATAAGTGCTTCCCTGACAAGTGCAAGGGCCTGAGTTCAAGCCCCAGTTCCACAAAAAAAAAAGACCCACCCTTTGCTTTTTATATAAATTCTGTGAAAAAAGATCAACTCACAGGAAAAGTAAAAGCAACAATGCAAATGGCTGTGCAAGGAAATGCTCACACCCACACCTGTCATAAAAGGGATCTCTCGCCAGTGTCCCCCAGTGAGCTCTAAAGCTCAGGGGTAGTGAAAACATGGGAAATGGGGAATTCTCCAGCGGCCGTAACAGTGTGAACAGTTACTAGCCTGACCCTCTGGAGGGAAAGGCTCGCTCTCAGTTGCTCCCTGACAGCCACAGCACCTAGAGTAACACTGCCACTAAGTCGGCCTCGGGAAATAATTTTGTTGAGGAAAGATATTGGAACGAGAGCATAGCCTGTTTGGAGGGCAGTTTGGAAGAATTTTTCAAAATTAGAAATATTGGCACACACTCAGCACTGAGGAGGCTGAGGCAGGAGGATCACCACAAGTTCCAGGCCAGTCTCAGCTCCATGGTGAGTTTGAGGGCAGCTTGAACTACACATGGCAAGATGCTGTCTCAAAGAGAAAACAAAACACTAATCCTAGAAATGTAACTGGCTGTGGACAGTGATTATACTTGGAAGGTTGATTCTACAATCCCTACTTTGCACGCTAAAAATGGTAATGGCCTTTGTAGTAATCTTGTGCGTAATAAAAGAAATTGCAGAAATGTCCACACTTTGGGGATTGGTTAAACTGTGCGAGAAAATGTATAATACAAAAGAAAGCAGCTCCTGGAGTACTAAAATTGGCAGCCTGCCCCATGCAGGACTTGGAGGTGTAATGTTAAGGGGTAGAATGTGTCACGCTGTGTGGAGGAGAGGAAGGGGACGAGCACATTTGTGTTTGCTTATGCACACCTGGAAAGATTCACACACAATCACAGCCTGGCGAGGAGAGTGGCGTGGTGATTAGGGAAGGGGCATTGTCACCAAACACCCTTCTGCCCTGGTGGAACTTTTTACTTTCACCGTCCTTGCACTGCCCTTCAGGGTAGTTCCTCTCCCTGAATGCTAACTGTACTTGCTTAGGCTGAACACCCCTTAATAGGAACTGAGCTACCCACGGGAGCATCAGTGCCTCCTGCTGGTTGCTCATGGGGTGCACAGAGCCCACTGCCATGTTTGATGTGCCCTGAGTGTATTTCCGTGTTCTGCATGTTACAATATGTTTTCATGTCCCATTTTTCCTTTCTAGATCAAAACTACAATAATGCCACTGCCCTTGTGATTACCTTCCCCGTCAGTAACTACTATGATGATCTAGAGAAGCTGCAGCGGGCCCAGGCCTGGGAGAAAGAGTGAGTCACCCAGGGCGACACCGACAGCCTCGATGGGGAGAGTTCCCCAGCGTCAGGCCTAAGTCCTGTACTTTCTCTGACTTGGTACTAACCACCGCAAAGAAGAAAAGTTGGCAAATTTACCTGTAAACAGGTTGCAACATTGTTCTAACTGTAGCAATGCCAGATACACATACATGTGCAAAAATGTGTTCAACAGCAGAAAGTGGGGGTGCACAGAACGTGCGTTAGTGGGGAGTGAGGACCGTAGGAACTCGAGAGCAGTGAGAATGTGGTGTGGTCATCAAAGGAAATGAGTCAATACATGGCTCTTGACTTATGTAGATATGCTGCGCATGCTGTCCATGCTTAGGAAAAAATACCAAGGCCTTACTCAAGGAATTGTTAATTAAATTTTGAATTGCTAGCTATTATGAAGGGGAGAAGACTTTTACTCCTCCTCCCTTCAGTACTTTTAAACACTTCTATTGAGGTAGGACTGTAACGCATGCAGCTCACTCATTCCACGCGTGCAGGACGGTGGCTGTGCGCGTCCTCACAGATGGTCGGCCAGTACCACCGCCAGCGTGAGAGGGAACACTGCGCCCTGGAGTGACACCTTCCCGTCTGTCCTCACAGCCATCTCCCTAGACAACCGCTGACCTACTTTCTGCCTGTTTTCCCTCTTCTCAGCTTACCTAAATAGAACCACGGCTGGGGCTTTGTGTCTGGCTTCTTTCACCCAGCATTATGTTCTAAGGCTGCCCTGTGGGAGCGCCCCATCTGCAGCCCACACCCCGCTTACTTAGCGCAGAGTGCCAGCACGCTGCGTGCCGGAGTTTGGCTTAGAATGAGTTCGTACCCTCGTGTGCCGGCAGAGCATCGCAGCATCGTGCCGCGGGTTCCTGTCACTTCCTAGAGCAAGGGCAGTACTTCCTTCTCATGGCCAAATGCCATTCCACTGATGGATGTGCCACATTTTATCTCTTCATCAGCGGATGCGCATTTGGGTGGGTTTCAGCTTTTGGCTATGGTAAGCAGTATTGTGTACAAATTTTTGCATGGACGTAAGTTTTTGTCTCTTAAGTGAAGTGTATGTCTAAGAGTAGAATTACTGGACCGTGTGATTACTGTCTTATAGTTGAAGAAAAGCTGGCCTCTTTTCATTGTGAGAAGCCTCAGTTTCTCTATTCCTTTGCCAACACTGTTATCATGACTTCTTTGTTCCAGCCTTCCTAGTGGCGGGGAAGTGCTGTCCCATTGGGGTTTGATTTGCATTTGCCTGGTGCCTACAGATTTCAAGGATCTCTTGTATTTATTTTCTCTTAGTATGTATTCCTCAGATATGTATGTTTGCTTTTTGCCTTTTTTAAAGTTACTTTTTATTATTGACTTTGTTCTTTATGTAGTTTAGATGTCTTATCAAATACATGATTTCGGTATTTTCTCCCATTCTTTGGATTGTTTTGTTGTTTTTTTGATGGGGATTTTCTTTGTTTTTGATTTTGTTTTGTTTTTTGTCTTTTTTTGTTTGTTTTTTTGTTTTTTGCCTTCTCAAGGCAGAGTCGCACTATGCAGTTCAGGCTGACTTTGCGCTCATTTTATAGCCCAGGCTGGTCTCCAGCTCACAACAATCCTGCCTCAGCCTCCCAAATGCTGGGATTACAGGTGTGTGCCACCACACCCAACTTTTGATGGGGATGTTTGAAGGGTGAACATTTTTAATTTTGATGAAGTCAAAAATTTTTTTGTTGCTCAGACTTCCAGTGTCAGATCTAAGAAATCATTGCCTAATCCAGGGACCTGAGGGTTTGAATTTGTTTTTAGGCATGGTATGAGGGGTAGGATCCAAGTTCATTTTTTCATTAAAGATAAATCTTCATTTGGGAATCATTTTTTAGAAAACAGAAAGGACTGAACATGAACCAGTTTTAAAAACTTATTCACAATCTGTTTTACATGGCAGCATACTCAGGGTTTGGGATGTAGCGCACGGTGGAACGCTTGGGTAGCACGCATGAGTGCAGTTCCTCAGTGCCAGGGCACGTGGAGGATGCAGCCTGACCTGGTGCTGCTGTAATCCCAGCGTGCACCCTCCCACTTCGGCTCCTGGGAGGGGCTGCTTGTACAGGACAAGGCAGGTGTCGGTGTGGAGCAGGCCTGGGACTGCCTGTCCCTCCGTGCTGACTAAAAACACAACGCTCTGCTTGCTCCATAGGTTCATTCACTTTGTGAGGAACTACAAGAATCCAAATCTGACCATTGCTTTCACTTCTGAGCGAAGCATTGAGGATGAGCTGAACCGAGAGAGTAACAGCGATGTCTTCACGATTGCCGTCAGCTATGCCGTCATGTTTCTGTACATCTCCCTGGCCTTGGGCCACATCAGAGGCTGCTGCCGGTTTCTGGTCAGTGTGTGAGGGGTGTCATGGTGGGAGGGTGGCGCAGTGAACGGGGTGACCTCATATTTTGCCTTGCTTATTCTTAATTTGTTATATCCAAAATTACCTTAAACGTGTGGTGCCTTTGGGTGGACACAGGTGTACGCTGCAGGTTAATTCAGTGTAGCATTTCTGTTTTCTGCACATTTTCTTCTGTTCCAATTTTCTGGTTTCTCTTATACCTAAAATTTATTTCACTTAATCTCGTTTTCTCCTAATTTGTCCCGTCTGTCACCCTAAGAATGTGAGCTTATGAAATACATAGCTGGGGAGCATCTAGAAATTTTCTCATGCCTTGTCTTGAACTGAGAATTGTACTTTTAACTCTAGATTGGATACATTTCTTTCTTTTCTTTTTTTTCTTTTTTTTTTTTTTTTTTTTTGGTGCAGGGAATCATACTCAGAACCTTGTGCTTATCAGGCAGGTGCTGTGCCACTGGGCTATATCCCAGGCCCTCAGTGTACTCTTGTAAAGAAATAAAAATGGACTGAGGAGGTAGCTTAGTAGAATAAGCACTTGCCTGGCAAGCGCAAGTGTCTGAGTTCAATCCCCGGTACCGCCAACAACAACAAAAAAGAAACAAAAATGAAGGCAGAAGGGACTATATAGCCAGTGATTTCTCTTTACTGTCTTGCAGGTTGACTCTAAAATCTCCCTGGGCATCGTGGGGATCCTGATTGTACTGAGCTCAGTTGCCTGCTCCCTGGGCATCTTCAGCTACGTCGGGATCCCACTGACGCTCATAGTGATTGAGGTCATCCCGTTCCTGGTGCTGGCTGTAGGGGTGGACAACATCTTCATCCTGGTGCAGACCTACCAGGTATACTTTGGTCTCTTTATGGGGCTTGGCATCCAGCCTGGAGTGCAAGTCTCCAAACCCTGCATTTAGCCTGTGATGATGGGCGCCGACTCTGAGGAGGCTTTGTGTCCCTTGCCCATGGCTTGCTGGTGATCTTGGTTTGTCCTGCACATTCTAGGACTGAGAATCTCAGCCTGTAGGGTTGGTGGAATACACATAGCTGCTGAGGCTAACATGCTGTTGGGGCAGCTGGTACTAGAGTGATTCTCAGCATACCACAGAGGAGTGATCAACCTGATTTGTTTAAGGTGCCACTGGACAGGTGCGCGGTCAGCACAGCACACAGTGTAGCAAGCAGTCTCAGTCCGTAGTCCTGAAGAGGCTGAGAGGAGACTCGGTGACAGGGGGAGGGTTCTTTAGTGACCCAGCTAGTCAGCTGCTCATCTCTTTTGGATGCCTTCGTATAAGGCAGCAACAGGAGAATACTGCTACTGAGACATTTTCATGTTGCCCTATTAATTTTCTTTTATTTAAAGCGAGATGAGCGTCTTCAGGGAGAAACCCTCGATCAGCACCTGGGCAGGGTCCTAGGAGAAGTGGCTCCTAGCATGTTCCTGTCCTCCTTCTGCGAGACTACAGCATTTTTCTTAGGTAATTTTGCTTTGCTACAGGCCAGTCCTGTCGTTTATTGAGTGTTGGAAAAGGAGCTGAGAGGCTGACCGTGCCCCTTGGTGAGCTTCATTCTGTCTGTAGATCACAAGGAAAACGGGTGGCAGAACCTTGGGTATCATTTCACAAGCATCTCTTTCATGATGAGGTTCAGAACAGTGTTGGTGTGTGGTCAGGGTGACAGAGACCCAGCGCTCCCCTGCCCATGCCACTTTTGGTGCCTGTAGCAGCTGTTAGTCTATGAAAATGACATCCTCACATAGCTGTGAAGTCCCCAGTGCTGCAAGGCAGGGCCAGCTCCTCCACCGGGCCTGGAACCTCTGCCCCTGTGTTCTGAGCCGGTCTCCCTGCACGTACAGCAGCTCCCTAGGGACGCACTCGTCAGTGAGCAGACGTTCCTGCTGCTTACCGCAGTACAGGGAGCCAGAGTGAAGGGCAGCATAGCTCAGCACTGCTGCACGTCACCAGGTGGACTCGCCAGCGGGCTGCCTGTCCCTCTGCAGTGGAGAAAGACAAGCCATTCGTCCTCGAGAGGAAGCTGGCTTAGCATCCCTCAGGCAGAGAAGACAGTCCGTGGGTCACAGACTGCAGGCCCCCAGGTCACCTCGTGCAGGGCCTCTGCGGGGTCGTCGTAGGCAATGGTCTTTCAACTCAGACTCACTGTCAGTATCTTAGTTGCATTTCTGTAGAGCAGTGTGCTTTCTCTAAAAAAAAAAATTTTTTAATGTGTTTAGTACAGGGTCTCAGTACACAGATCAGACATAGTGATCCTCCTGTTTTCAGCCTCCCAAGAGCTGGGATTACAGGCGTGTACCACCACACCCAGTCTCAGTCACCGTCTCAGTGCACCCCAGGGGCGGGGCCGGCACAGCAGGCCGGGGATGGAACCCCAGTCGCTGCACTCTGCCTAAGCAGGCACTTTGATCCACTGAGCTATTTGGCCAGCCTGCAGTGTGCTTTTGAAACCTTGACCCTTACTGTTCCTTTTCATGGTCACAGCTACATTCTCTTTATTTCTGTTATAAGAAAACCAAAAAAAAAAAAAAAAGAAAAGAAAACCAATTCGAGTGTGATGACCACAGCAGCTGAGACCTGGCAAGGCTGCAGGGACTTTGGTGAGATGGGGGAAGGCAATCCGAGTGTGCACGTGGCATCCAAAGAGGAAGTAAAGGGCTGGCAAGGTAGCTCAGTGGACTAAGCACCTGCTTTGGCAAACACGGGGACCAAGGTTCAATCCCTGGTCCCACATGCCACACTGGCCCCTGCCCCTGGGGCTTGGAGCCAGTGACTGCCTCTGGGCATGATGGCGCATGCCTGTAATCCCAGTACTGGAGAGGCTAAAAAGAGGAGAATCACCAGGAGTCCAAGATACATAGTGAGACCCTGCACAAAATTAAAAAAAAAAAAAAGTGACTTGAAGCTAGCCCTGGGGTTCCAAGACCTAAGAACTGTTTCAAAGCTGTGGACTTAGATTTTTGTGCAAATTCTATCTCATTGTTACATATTGACTATTTATTTAAACATTTATAAATCCTAAAATGGATCCACGGAACAGGTAGGCTATGTCTGGCCTGTGGGCTAAGCTCACTCTTGCACCTTGGACCCAGAACCCCCTCACTTGGCTGTAAATCCCATCTGACTGTAAATAAGCTGGGAGACAGTGACGATAGGACAGTAGCTGGAGGGCAGTCCTCCTCTTAGACTAAAGCGTGGAAGGCACTGTGAGAACTGCCCTGGCCATCATGCATAGCTTTCACGCTGTGTAAATCCGGCACGTGAGCCCACTGAGCACAACAGAGTTAAGCCGAACTGCGTCTGGGTTAGTAGGATGGGGTCAGGCACAAGTGGCCTAGTGCCAGAGCTGAGCTCCCAAACTCTTCCTATGCCTGTTCTGATAGGACAGCCACAGAGATGGCAGCATATGTCTGTGTTGTGAGTCTGCCAGAGTCCCCTGGGCTCTGTGGCGTGACACAGTGCTCCTCTGTCCCTGTAGGAGGACTGTCCTCAATGCCAGCTGTGCACACCTTCTCCCTCTTTGCGGGGCTGGCCGTCTTCATCGACTTCCTCCTTCAGATGACCTGTTTTGTGAGTCTCTTGGGCCTGGACATTAAACGTCAAGAGGTAAGTTATTAAATTGGAGTCTAGACCCTGCATGGAGCAGCCCGCTGGTACTCTCCATGACCTCTCACCTCTTTGTTCTTCAGAAAAACCGGCTGGACATCCTCTGCTGTGTCAAAGGTGCTAATGATGGGAGGAGCGTGTTGGCCTCAGAAAGCTGCCTGTTTCGCTTCTTCAAAAACTCATACTCTCCACTTCTGCTGAAAGATTGGATGCGGCCACTTGTGGTATGAACTGATCTGTGTTTGCTCTTCTCCCCCAGATTTGTCATGTGCCTTGCCTGAACTTGCACAGCTAGGAGGGAGGGAGGGAGGTCCTGGCAGCTGTTAACTTACGTGCAAAAGCTGCAAAAGCAGATGTGTATAAATGGTACACTTGTCTCTAACAAGACCTTATCGGTGAATATTAGAGAGGTTTTGGATTTTTATTTAGAAATCCTTGTAAATTAGTAAGTAGCACAGAGCAGACTCAGTTTCCTTCCCCTGGCTTCTCCCCGTGGTGTCTTACACAGCAGGGTAGAATCACAGCTGAGTTTGTCGCTGGTGGTCTTTTCATTTGCTTCAGTGCTGGGGGCTGAACCCAGGCCCTCATCCATGTCACGCCATGCTCACCCAGAGCTGCATCCCAGCCTGTAGCCGGCATTGATGAGGCACAGCGTGGAGTGTGGGTCCATGATCCTCTCCGGTGTGGATTCCCAAGATGCAGTGCTCTGTCCCCTCCCCCACCACCTGCGTGGGAAACCCTCACCCCTAGGCCCTAGCAGTTGCGCTGTAGCTCTTTACAGTTTATATGCCGCATGCAGCCAGCACTGCATTTACCACTTCCCTACTAGAAGAATATACGTTAGTGACCACAGTAAAAAGCATTTTTATCCATTGGCTTCTGAGCTACCATCTGGATTCCCCCTGGATTTTCTTGTGTAGCCCACACAAGGGCCAGTGCAATACATGTGCTGCTGTTTTCAGTCTACTACTGAAACGTAGATGGTAAGAGAGAGCAAGCGACCTGCCCAATGCCCCTCAGCTCCTAAATGGCTGAGCCTGGATTTGAGTCCAGGAAGTTAGATTTTGACTGCTGCGACCTCAGCCACTACCCCATCCTCTCTATCATGCTGCCATGTCATTTAGACTTGCTTTTCAGTTTACAGGGACAAAGAGTGAAGCTCACAGCGGTGGAGCACTTGCCTGGTCTGCTCAAGGCACCGAGCCCAGTCCCTTGCTCTGCAAAAAAGTGGTTCTTTTGTATCTTAGACTTGATTCCTATTTTTAAACTCACTGTTACACTTTAAGCAGTCATGTTGTTCCCTTTCCTTTGCAGATTGCCGTATTTGTGGGTGTCCTTTCATTCAGTATCGCAGTCCTGCACAAAGTAGAAATTGGATTGGAGCAGTCTCTTTCCATGCCAGATGTAAGATGCTTACTTTTTCTTACTGTAACTTGTTCAGTCCTGGATGAATAGTTCGCAGAACATGCTCGTGGGTGTCAATGCTGCGGGCATGTGGGTACCGCTTCTCCAGCCACAAGAGAGCTGTCATAGTGCCCTCCACACCAGCATGGAGCACTGGCACTGTGAAGTCTCAGGTCCCCCCTTCGGCCACACAGTAGGAGCCGCCTGTCTTGGGAGTTACCTTAGGTAGTCCCCTTTGGTGGGGACGGCTGGAAAGAGCACCCTCAGGCCCAGGAAGAAAATCGTCATAAACCCATGCTGGAGGCGACTCGGCCTACTGGTGTCCTCTGAAGTCTCCACAGTCAGCCTATCACTCAGTTAACATCATGTGACCCATCGCTTTCCTGTTGTCTTTCTTTCAGGACTCCTATGTCATAGATTACTTTAGGTCCCTGGGTCAGTACCTGCACTCAGGGCCCCCTGTGTACTTCGTCCTGGAAGACGGGCATGACTATACCTCCCTGCATGGGCAGAACATGGTGTGTGGTGGTATGGGCTGTGACAACGACTCGCTAGTGCAGCAGGTCTTCAATGCCGCCCAGCTGGACAACTAGTGAGTACCTCTGGCCTGTCATCCCACTGGGCACTGTTAGACACTTGAAAATGAACTTGCTTGGGAAAATTGTTTTTATTCAAACATACTTTAAGTGTAGCTTAACCTGAGCAAAATCTTTTTTTTTTAATTTTAGAGAAGGGCCTACAGGGTGTTCAGGGTCTCACTACTATATTGGACTCGTAGCAATCCACCTATTTACAGCCTCCCAAGAGCTGGGATCACAGGCGCGCAACACCACGTCCAGTCTCAGTTGCCTCTCAGCTCACCCCAGGGCAGGGCTGGCACAGCAGACCTGGGGTTTGAACCCCTGGCCCATGTGCCTGCTTGCAGGTGTTTTAATCCACTGAGCTGTTTGGCTGGCCCTTAAGCAAAATCTTTGAAAGGACTAATTTACCGTCAGATACTTGGAAGGTTTTTTTCCATTGAGTGGTAACGTAGTTTTTCTTTGGCAGAAGTATAAAGTGTAAAAAGGGAAATTAGTTTCAAGGGAAATATTGAAGCTGATTTTCTCTTGGTGGATGAAACTTACTTTCTCCTCTCCTGCTCTCTAGTACCCGGATCGGCTTTGCTCCCTCATCCTGGATTGACGATTACTTTGACTGGGTGAAGCCGCAGTCCTCCTGCTGTAGAGTCTATAACGCCACTAAGCAGTTCTGCAACGCATCAGGTATGTCTGCTCCTTTCCAGAGCTTTCCTTTTTCTGGAAAATTTTAGCATAATCACTTCCAAGTCTTTTGCATGCTGCCTTGTTTTATGCCTATGTATGTGTCCATGTGGGTCATGTTGCCTTTGTTACCATCCTTTTCCACACTCTCTGGTGCTTGTCACATTCCTGTCCCTTGGTGGCTGTGGGGCTGCAGGTTCCCTTTAGAGCACTGCTTCGGAGATGGGGATTCTCCTTTCGTCCCTGCCACATGCTACCTCTTGGCACCGTGTGTGCCTAAGCTTTTTGGAGCCGTGCTTCATGTACTGCTGTCACCCTGCAGTTGTGTAGAACACTGAGCTTGTCCTGGAATTTTCTTAACGAAAGTATGAAGTCTTGGGCTCCCAAAGTATTGGTTGAGCTCATCCTTGAAGCAAAAATCTCTTTTATGGAAGGAAATGTGTGGTCTGCCTCCAATGAAACTACTTTTGTGTACTGAATGTTTAACTATGACAGTCACATGATGCTGAAGTTGTATGTCAGGGTAAAGATTCAGGAAGATAACTTAAATTTTTTTAAAAATGTGGGAGCCCACAAATCTAACCGTTGACCCCCTGTTCTCTCTCTGCCAGTGGTGGACCCTACCTGCATCCACTGCAGGTCTCTGACTCCAGAGGGCAAACAGAGGCCTCAGGGTGGAGACTTCATGAGATTCCTGCCCATGTTCCTTTCTGATAACCCTAACCCCAAGTGTGGCAAGGGGTGAGTGCCGCTTCGCGTGCCAGATAAGCAGCCGCTGTAGCTGTAGTTCGCGGTCGAAAGCCAAGAGATGATTGGGTCAAGGCAGTCTTACAGGGCAAGGATCTTCTCTACCCTCCTCCCCACCTCATCCCAGCTGGCTGTCCAAGTGGAGAAACTTAAAGAAAACATGTTTTCAGTGGAATTCATCCTAGTTTGGCCATTTGTCATTGCCCTGCCCCATAGCTGAGCCTTTGCACTCAGCTACATCCCCTGCCTTTTCTTAGTTTTATATGTTGAGAGAGTCTCACTAATACCCAGGCATGGTGGCCCTCCTGCATCAGCCTCCCTGACTGCTGGAATTGCGGGCATGCACCATCACAGCCATTTCCTAATGCTGTTCTCTGGGTCCTGCCCCATGTGGATGAATGGATGTGGGCTCCATGTGCCTAGTGCTGGAGGTGGAGGGAGGGAGCGGACATGCTGGCATTTCACTGTGGGAGAAGTAAGGTTGAAATTCTGTGCACCCTGCCTGCCTGGCCACAGAGCTTCTGGGCCATCTCTGCCCCCCAGGCAGCCAGGTGGAGTGGTCTAGAAATAGCAGGGCTACTTGGAGGTCTTGGGTTGCTCTGAGAGCTTTCGCAGGCAGACGCGAGCATCCATGTGCGTGCCAGGCACATTCTGACACGTTTGTTTCTGCTGAGAATCCACATTGCTGAGTCACCTCGTTTAACCATACAGGTTATGTCTATGTTTGGAGATCTGCACAAGGTCCTGTCAGAAGTATGGCCCATAAAGTCTTGCTTACTGTGCGAGTGCTTTTACCTTTGAAACATGGGGAAGCAGCACAGGTGTCACAAGATGGTGGCCAGTGTCTTGGGGGCCAGACAATGTCAACACCCCACCAAGGCCCAGGCCTCCCTCCATACAGTGTCCCACAGCTTAGGTTGTGTGGGCCCAGAGCATAGGTGACCAAAACTCACATGCAGCTCACAGGACCAATGAGCAGTAGGCCAGGGCCCAGCTCTTGCCCTTTCCTGTTTCCTGTTACAAAGTAACAGTTACTGAGTAAGCTCCATATCAGAGCATGTTTGATTGTACACAGAACCAGATAGACTCCAGCAGCCACACACTGTAGACACCGTGGCAGTAGAGGCCAGACTGGGCGAGAAAAGGCTAACACTTCCTGTGTCCCTTTGTCAGGGCACTGTCCCTGACACAGCTGTGCCTGACCTCAGAGCTGGCTCAGGGGTCTTTGCTAGGTCTGGCCTCTGACACTCACTGCCTCTTGCTCAGGGGACATGCTGCCTACAGCTCAGCGGTGAACCTCAACAACAACACGGGCGTCGGTGCCACGTACTTCATGACGTACCACACTGTGCTTCGGAACTCCGCTGACTACATCGATGCACTGAGGAAAGCCCGGCTCGTGGCCAGCAACATCACCAGAAGCATGGGTGCAAAAGGCAGCAACTACCGTGTGTTCCCGTACAGGTAGGGCACATCGACACATGCAGCAGACATGCGCCCCCTAGGTGACCTCCATGCCAGGCTGCCTTGGTGGAGCCAGTGCTCAGTATGTGTCTGACACCTGCTCTGTCCCCAGCGAGCACAGGGGACAACACTGAGGACTTGGGAGTCCACACCAGGTGAGAGCTGCGGATGCAGAATTTGCTCTGTGCTGCTCCCTGCCTGGAAGAGACACAATGCATGCTGGCATGGGAGGAGGGGCAGAGCAGGGCTCTCCCGGGAGGCCGTGCCAGCCAGAACAGTTGGCTGGCAACGCAGGGGCACCCCTGACTGCTAATGACTCAGGACAGCCTGCCCTTCTGTGCGAGTGGTGTCACAGTGTGTATTCTAATGCTTAGGAAACGTCGGTTTCCTGGGGAAATGGCCTGAGCTAGCTCCCCGATGCTATCTTGTTTCCCTCTTTTCCACATCATATGGAAGGCCCTGGAAACATCCAGAAACATAGGCTGGGCTTGCAAACAGCCACTTTTAAATATGCACTTTAGGTCATTGTCACTACTCCCTTGAATGTCAGCAGCCTTCCGAGATCTGGGCAGGCCACCAGAGACCCTGTTTTCAGGGCCGCCTCTTGGAAGGACTTTGGCTTTGCAGACTGGGCACCTAGCAGCACGGGAGTGCTCACGGTCTTCTCCCACACCCCCAGTGTGTTCTACGTCTTCTACGAGCAGTACCTGACCATCATCGAGGACACCATTTTCAACCTCGGCATGTCCCTGGGATCCATATTCCTGGTGACCATGGTGGTCCTGGGCTGTGAGCTGTGGTCTGCCATCATCATGTGTGCCACCATCGCCATGATCCTGGTCAACATGTTCGGCGTCATGTGGCTGTGGGGCATCAGTCTGAATGCAGTCTCTCTGGTCAACTTGGTGATGGTGAGTCCTGGTTGCCTCTCTCTGTCCCCGGCTGGAGTCTTGGATCCTCAGAAACCCTCAGATGGGGAAACCAGCAAGCCTGGCCCTTGCTGCTAGTGCTGAGCATTTGGAGCCGGAGGGGAGGGCCCTTGGGCACAGCAGCGCATGCTTTCACCTTGCTGCGCGGTCCCATCTCTCCTCCACGCCCTTCCCTTGCACCTGTACTTGGTAGTGTGCGCGCTATGGGTCGTGATGGCAAGGTGATCTCATGGTCTAGCTTAGGGATTCTGCCTTTCATTTATTGTCCTGGGCCAGGTAGATAGCTCAGCGGTGTATGCACCTGCCTGGCAAGCCCAAGGACCCAGTACTGCACGCTGTGCCAGCCCCACGCTGAGCCTGCTACCAAAACCAGGTGTGGTGGCGCATGCCTGTCATCCTGATGCTTGGGAGGCTGAGACAGGAGGATCACTATGAGTCTGAGTTGTGCAGTAAGACCTTGTACCAAAAAAAAAAAAAAAGCATGTGGCCCTGTGAAAGCGAGACGTTCACGTTTTACTTAGCGATCTGTGCTCCCCCCACCGCAGCGGGGCCTCTCGCGCAGCTGCCAGGTACTTTTTCATAGTCTCGGTGCTGTGCACACTGGAGAAGGTCCTGGCAGTGCGCTTGTGCCTACTGCTGGGTGCAGTGCAGAGCCCCAGGCAAAGATGACAAAGCGCGGCCGGGAGGGTGGGCAACCTCAGCACTTCAGCAGCTTCCTGAGCAGAGAAATCGCCCCTAAAACAAGGTAAGCCGGGCCTGAAGCTTCCGGAGCTCCTGCCACAACCTGGCAGGTTTGATGGGGGCTCTGTTGTAAGTCACAGGGACAGTTAGGGACCCTGGTCAGCAAAGGGGTGGCCACTTGGAACTGTTCCCCGGGAAAGCGCCATCCTCTCACAGCAGTGCTGTGTTCCAGAGCTGTGGCATTTCCGTGGAGTTCTGCAGCCACATAACCAGAGCGTTCACAGTGAGCTGCAGGAGACGCCGCGTGGACCGTGCACAAGAAGCTCTGGCTCATATGGGCAGCTCCGTGAGTACCCTCAGCAGGGCGGTACAGGGCAGGATGACAGCAAGAGGCACCCACCCATCATGTCAGTAGGTGGAACAGAACCAGGGTCCCCTATAGAGGGCAGCTTCCATGGGTCACGGGATTTCAGGCCGTTCAAGAAACAGCTACATCTTGTACAGACCTGCTCTTCTTCCAAACCACTGTGTCTGTGATGACTGAGTAGGAAGACTAAGGCAGCAGACTGGGGCAAGCTGGAAGTCAGCACAACCCAGGGCCCCCACGTCCCAGAGCCCAAGCAGCCCCTAGCTGTTTGGGATTAGGCCGTCTCCACCTGCTTTATGACTTGACAAAACCCTGTTCAACTCTGAAGACTACAGCCTGCTGCCTGCCGAGCTTTCCTTAGGCGCCAGCTAAGGTTCTGACCCCAAACTTGTGCCTGAGCCCTGAGCCTGCCGATCAGCACCAGACTAACCCTAAGTCCCAGATGAGGTCCAGACTTAACTACCCAGACCAAATCCTGACCTAAAGCTAGCCCTGATGCCAACCTGAGCACCAGTCCCAGGCTGAACCTCAACCTAGATACTTGAGTCTCCATTTAACATCACCTTGGTGTGGGCAGAAGACTGCCTACAGTTTCGCCTTTAAAACACTCATTTAAGCAGCACACAAGTTTTAGCAACAGCTTCACTTGTCCCTGAATTAAGACGTCTTGTATGAGGAAATGTTCAATTAGAATAGGCTGTTAAGTTTTAAACTACCATTTTCTTGTTCTAGATATTCAGTGGAATCACCCTTACGAAGTTTGGAGGAATTGTAGTGTTGGCTTTTGCCAAATCTCAAATTTTCCAGATATTTTACTTCCGGATGTATTTAGCTATGGTCTTACTGGGAGCCACACATGGACTAGTATTTCTCCCCGTCCTCCTCAGTTATATAGGTAAGAGTTCCTATGAGGTAAAGCAATTACTACAAATAAGTGCATCCTAAAGCACCCTTTATAGTAGTACCCCAACGTGCACCAATAGTCATCTAATAAGTAGGACTGAGTGATGATTGTCTAAGAGGACAAAAAGTCCTATGCAAGAGGAAATGGCTGTACTCTGGCGACCTGATGCGGGTCAGCTCTTGAACGAACTCGGAAGTGAGTGGGTGGGGCTGCTGCTGCCAATGACAGCCAGGACAAGGTCCCAGAAGTGCTCCCAAGAACTGCTTATTCCCTCATGATCCACATTTCTTAGCAAAACGCTACCTCTGCTCCTCACCTCTTGAGACTTTTTATGTGTTTATTTCTGCAGCTACTTCACCTTACACAAAAGGTCCCTGGCTGAATGAAGGACAGTATTACTTTTCCCCCTCAGCTTCGTAACTAAGGTGAACTGCTAGTGTAATCCAACGTAAACTAGCTTCTTTCCTCTTAAATGATTTTTTTCTCTTCCAGGACCATCAGTAAATAAAGCTAAAATTCGTGCCACTAGAGAGCGATACAGAGGCACAGAGCGAGATCGACTCCTGAATTTCTAGCTCTCTGGCGGGGCCTGGTGACTCTGAACTGTGTCTGAGGGTCGGGCTGTTGCCCCCCAGGGCAGTAGCCCAGTGTCTGGCTGAGCTGACCGCTGCAGGTGTCGAGATGTCAGCCCACTCACTGCAGCGCCACCACCGTGCTTGTAAACTCAGGAATGCGTTTGTCACCGGTGAAGCAGTATTAGTAAAATCTGAAGGCGATCATGGAACACAGATTTCCCCCGTACCCCATTTCTTCAAGAAAGAAACCTCGTCTTCTGCAAAAGGACACTTGGGATGGCTGGGCACAAGATCTGCCCTCCCTAAAGGCCAATCTG